AAATTCATGAATGGAAATAAAGAATAAACTCTCGCTTGCAGAACTGTGGAGGCTTTCCTAAGGGTGTGTCAGTTCAAATGCTTTAAATCAGACTGGAAGGACTTGACCAGTTGTTTATGGAGGTTTGCCAATCAAGATCAAGTGCAGTTGAGTATTAATGGTTAATCTGTAACTGGCTGTAAAGATGGATGGCTTGTTAAAACAGCAGGAATATTAAAGCTAACAGATCATGGATCTGGATCAAAACAATACATTGACTCCATTACATACATGATGACTTCATTACATGATTATATCAATATTGCAACAGTCATAAAAGCAATCTAAAAGGTCTTCATTGAATATTGTATCACTCTTCTTCTCTCATTATCACTTAGCCTCGCTCTTCAATATGTTGACTTGTTTATGAGCAGGGAGGTCTATTACTGTAATTTGGCAACCATGGAAACAGTATAGAGATAGAGAACAACAGACTGCAGCCGACAATAGATTTTTTAAAAAAAGAGATAATAGGAAAGAAATATCAAATAGAAGTCTTTCACTATAAAAAGAGTAGGCTGCTGTATGGCACATGCTACAATGCACCCACTGCCCTGGCAGAAAGTCCACAGCCAATCTGGACCAATTAAAGCACAGATCTGTGGGTGCCCAAGATGCTGACATGCCAGCACTGGCTGAGAGAACGAGAGATGGAGAGAGAGGAAACGGAGGATCAGATAGGAGAAGGCAAAAATGAACAGATCACAATGACAAAAGGATGTGACTGAAACTGGAGAGGCACAGGATGGAGAGGAATATTGGAGGATGGCAGCGGAAGTGAAGAGGGGGGTGGAGAGATGGCACTGTCTGCTGCAAGCTCAGGAGCTTCTTATGACCTTTATGTAACCCAACTACAGGCACTTCCTCTCTGTCTCAGTCCATCTCACATTCACAATTGTCTTCTCTCATTCTCATTTGCAAGAGGACACATGCTTAATGGTGTCAAAATTAAAATGGCTTTCCATGGGGGCTTTTAGCAGCCTTTACTAAACTTGAGCAGAGGGGATGAACGCACGCCCACTCCTCCTCTCGTTACCACGCTATTGTACACAGTGGTTGCAATTAAAACTTTAATTTAATTTTTATGTTTCCCCTGTGAAATGTGAAAGGTGTTAGCTCACAGCTGTCACATCTACGAAGCAGGAGTGAATAGGAAAGGTGTAAATTCATTGTTTTGCCATGGTTATGCATGCAGTGCTGTTTGGCATGTAAGACTGGCTCACTTCAAAGACTACATTGAAACTGATTTACACTTTTTTAAATAGACAACTAGTAATGTCATTGTAAATTGCTAAAAGGTATAACGGAACTGGAAAATGTTTGTAGAATAATTTTAGAAATTACCTTACAGTATTATGTTTTTTTTTTGTGTTTGAGTTTTGAAAGCAAATAAAAAATCCACCACACAAATCCCATATTATAAAATGTATGATAAATTATGATATATTATGTGCAAAGCATTATATATATATATATATATATATAGGAAGTAGAAGATAAGGAAATTATATATAATAATAATATACACAAAGCTATATGTGAACCAGACTAAACTATATTTCCTTACTGAGCAAAAATAAACACTAAATATACTACTACCACTGACTGTACTGAAATGATGAAGCTTATTTGTGAACGGATTTAAACTTTCTCTACATAAGGGTGGGAATGCGTCCTAGCACTGCTTGTCTTACAGAGACTCCAAAGAAACTTTGTCTCTTTGAGCACTGTGGTGTACACTATAGTATTAAAGGCCATCTAGAAACTCAGAAGAAATCCTGTTGAAGAAGTCCTGGCAGACTCAAAGTACTGCATGTTAATAGCAAACAGACCATCAATTTTAAGTCAAACAGAATGGAGTTGACTGCAGGTGCCTAATTATAGTTATCCAGATCTAGGCCATTTCCAATTGCATATACCTCAGGCCATTTCCAATTAAATAGTCACAAGCATTTCTCAGTGCATTTGTTTATATTCTCTACTGTTAGGGTATTTACAATGAGCTTGCTTGATCTTTCAACCAAATTCAAGTCGTTTAAAAACCATCAAAGAAGAACCTGATGTGACTGACACTGAGTCAGTGTTTGTGTATTTTAAGTCTGATTGGGTGTGTGTGTGTGTAAGAGAGATAGAGTGGGTGAGAGTTAGCATGAGTAAATGAAAGGGCTATTGGAGTGTGGAATTGAGGGCAAGAAGAGACGTTGCAGGGTGTACGGCAACAGAGAGAGAGAGAGAGAGAGAGAGAGAGAGAGAGAGAGAGAGAGAGAGGAAAGCAGCTATGTGTGAATGATGTTCTTCTTGCACTGGGGCAGGCCACGTCACAGCCCCCATTATTCTAATGGAGCACCACAATGCTTGCTGACCTTCATCATCGACAGACAGAGCTGGCCACGGAGATGACAGTGAGTGTGTGTGTATCAGTTATTCATACATTACAAAATGTGGCTGCAATGCAGGCTATTAGCATTGTAATTAGATGTACTACATGGACTTTACAGCAAAATCACAAAAGAAATGTTTCCTTAGTACCACTGAAACAGTGCAATACCAAGACATATGGATGCACATGCGCGAGCGCACACACACACACGCACGAACAAGCATATCCTCATTTAGACATAATAAAATGTTCTCAGGCTACGGGAGATGTGAAGAGTGAAGATTCACCAGACCTCCCAGTTTAATGAGCTGATTTAGGTCAGTTCAATGAACACACACACTAGCTAAAGGACATATACACACATACACTTCCACTTGACATGGTATGTTAATAAACCACCTTAATTTAACAACATTAACAACATTTTGAGATCCATCCAGCTTTGCTTCATCAAGCTAACACCAAGACATGGGAAATCAATCACAAGCTGCAACCAAATAGATATTTATAATATGTACTACATATTTTTTTTAAAGAATGTTGGAGTTTGTGCCCCAATCTGATATCCCAGCAGCCGTGATCCCACCTCACGCAGTCAGGGCAAAGCTGTAAGTACAGTGAACCAGCGGAGAGATATGAAGCATTATCTGACAGAACGATAGCTAACTAATAGACCTCTCAGCACACACGCTTAAAGCCATCAGCACTGATAAGACAGAGAGTGAGGGAGCGCGAGCGAAAGAGAGTCAGAGAGAATGAGGGGAGGGGACCGAGACTTTGAAGAGAGAGAACAGATCAGTGTGTCCGTAATCTCAATATGGATATTGGATCTTCACTGAATCAACTTAAACAACAGGTTCTTGTGCTTTACGGAAAACAAGGAAACACAAAAACTAATTAAACCAAAGATGATAAAAAGAAGTGTCAGAACAAATTCACCACAAACTCAAAGAAATGGGGATAGAGCTTGTAAATGCGTGTGTATAAAACTGTGCACACACGTTTGAGTGTCTGCACCAACCCACATGTCTGTGAATGGAGCTGGAAGTAAATGAATAACAGACTGCAGCTGAGAACTGAGGCATGTTGTAGGTGGTGCTGAATAAACGGGTCTTGATTTAATACTGAGACAAGACGATCTGAGAGTTTCCTGTGGATGTAGGTGCACCAAAAATATCTTATTATTTTCTCCAGTACGTACTCATGCTCTTTAAATCAGCCTCAGATAGCGTCTATTCAGTAGTGTAAAATTGTCATCATGCGTTTATCCTCAATGTGTATTTTGGTGTCTGGCCAGCCATGTTTGGACTCTGATCATGGCTGGTCTTATTCACATCAACACATACATACATCTTTCTCTGTGGGAGACACATCTGAGTGTTCTGTGTGTGTTTATGCATATGTGCATTTGTGTGTGTGTGTGTATGTGTGTATTTGATGTATCAGCCCAGTTGGACAGTTACAATAACGGGAAGTGCTGACTCTGTCTGGGCAATTCATCACTTGAACCATTTTCTTATGCAAGAAATCAGCACCTAGAGCATCTATTTACCTGGAGTAACTAATTGAGTACTATATGAGGGAATTATCATAATCTATGTTTTAGAACCTGGGTCCCCTTTTAGTATCCCTCTGTCAATGACATGAACATTTTATGCAAACATGCCTGTCAAACAATCCACTTTAATCAAACCTATTTGGAGGAGAAAACAAAGTGAACATGAATTATTACCAAACTTCACTGCAAAGCTACCTCCTTCCCAGCACAGCCCCGGCCCTCACTTCCATGTGGTCTAGGTAAGAGCGTTAAAGCTGCACTCATCAATATTGTCATATTAACAATGAATCAAATGACTATATGTTATATGAATGGTGTCACTCATAGTGACAGACCCACAGATAATTATCATGAGACTCTGCAGTTCCTCAGCTCTACAGAGCATTTTAGAATTTTTGTTTTGTTGTTGGTTTCATAGCCCCTACTGTATCTTAGCTCCTGAGTAAAATGGAAATGATGGCAAAAAGAAAACTTCTTCTAATTTCTTCTTTATAAATCAGTTCTAACATTTTGTTTCACAATATAATAATACATCTATAGTGGAAAAATGATAGTTGACCACACTATACTCTTGAATACTGATGTTTGCTATTTAATCATGCCATTTCATAAAGGCTACTTATACAAGTATCATTAATTTTAATTATTCATTCTTTTCTATTATGGATAAATATCATTCACAGATGCACATTCAAGATTCATATCCTGAAACCAGTTCAGCACAAGTGAGTAAACACATACAGATAAACACACGTGTTCTGTTGCCTCTTCACATAACACAACATATATGCTTCATGAGAGCCATTAGCTATATAGAGCAATATTTGTCCTACCACAGTGTCCTTCTCCTAAATCCTGCATTTCACTTGCACTGCCACACTTTCTCAAATCTCTGAGCGCGTGTGTGCGGTGGTGCATGTGTGGGTGTTATTGACAGTCAGCAGCAGGGGGTGTGTGCTATGTTGTGAGACACTGACAAGCTGTATTTCATGGAGCAGATGAAGCATTTTGAAGTTCTTTAAATCCCTTTAAGGGTCCAGCCGGGGACTTAGCTTCTGATGCCGCCTCTGCTGCTGCTGCTTAAGTCTCTTGCTGGGGTCTAGAAGATGTAGCCCCCCTATTAGGTGTGTGTGTGTGTGTGTGTGTGTGTTGTGTGTGTGAGAGAGGTGTGTGTGTGTGTGTGTGTGTGTGTGTGTGTGTGTGTGTGTGTGTGTGTGAGAGTGTGTTTTTGGAAAAGGGGCTATGTATTGTCTTGTTTTTCTTCTGTTTCTTTGCACATGTGGGTGATTTTACAATTTCAATTAGAATGCATACCCTTGATGTACCCTCCCATACTTTTCTGAAACACACACACTCTAGCTATCCCCCCCCCACAATGATGCCTTATCTTGTATTCTGAGGGAGTTGCAGGAGGTAAAGGGAACTGACAGAGTTCCAATAGTGTAGTTGTTATACATTGGGAGGGCCGCTGTGGGCTTACCTTCTGGCTGGAAAACCTCCTCCTCCTCTTTCTCATTCTGTCCTTCCCTGCCTCCCTCTGTCATTACTCTTGCCTTCCCCTCTGGTGGTCCTGCAACTCCAGTCACTCCGCTCTTATTACCAGGCAGAGAGAACTGGCACACACACATACACACTGACTGTTCGTTCTTCCCATTACCAGAGCATGTCCCTCGCTGCTGGGGAGCGTCAGGTACACTTGATTCTGTTTTTTTCCCTGACTTACTATTTTTCTGTCTCTCTTTGCTAAATCTTGCTCTATGTATCGGCCTCTCTTTCCACCTCCTCCTTTTCTTTTCCTCACTCTCCTTCTCTCTCCCAGGCAGCCAGGGGGACAAATTGGCGCCCGGCTGAGCTAAATGTGCCTGGTGCTGAGAGCCAGATGGTACTGGCAGAGGGATGGAGGGAGCGAAGGATGAATGCTACTGAGAGATGGAGCGCTGAAGCCGTGGTGTGGCAGGGCAGCGTGGGGGAGCTAGCTTTCGCACACTAATAATCTATTAGTGCTCAGGGGCCCGAAAGCTGTGCACAAGACCTTGCCAGGGGCCAGTCTGACCCGGTCAGAGCTTTTTGGTGAATCAAGACTGGACAACATACTTAACAACATACATACACATACACAGAAAAGGGTGGATTGTAGAGTGAACTACTGAGGAGGGGAGGAAAAGAGACTGACAGATGATTTGAAGCTGTCATGATGCGGCAGGAGGAGAGGAAAGGATAAGAACAAGACACAGACAGAGAGAGAGGTGTGATGTCAGTCAGCTGCTGGGAGGTAGATATGTTGTTAATTAGACTCACTTCTCACTTCTTCTGGGGTTACTTGAGTTTGTCTCTTCCTCTCTCTCACAGGAAATTAAGGATCTGACCACGACTATGAGCAGAAGCTTTCTGACTGGTCTATTAAAACAGTAGGTAAGTTAAGGTATTAGATTTAAAGGATTAATTTATTACAACATTGAACTTATTTTTGTAGTGTAGGCCTTCATTTCAGTACTAAAACTTTGTACTAGCCAAGTCAATTTCTGAAATCTGGGAACGCCACACATGTTTAAAATCCAATGCCCAGGTTCAAGTTTGGCCTAACATACAGCACTTGCTGTAGTTGTACGCCTACACAGTTTTCCCATCAAATCAGGGATTCTTATCAATTTCAGATGCAGTAGCTTAAAGTTTTTAGGGGTGAACCTGAATACGCTGTAACCATTCAGCTACCAAGACGCTTAAAAATAAATTTCTTTGGATAATAAACTTTTGGCTTGTTTCCAACCTGTTCTGGTCATGTGACTGCCCGTCTGAGTTGTTTTTTAGCAATGTTGCCACATCTTGGTGAGTACAATGTTATCATAACCAAAATAAATGATGGCCAAAGCTATGAAATAAGACCCATGCTATGTTTAAGTCTAAACCCTGAGGTGAACAAGTTTAGTTTGGAAATGGCTGGGTTGCCCTCTTGGCCTAGGGGCTTAAAGGTCCAGTGTGTAACATTTAGGAGGATCTGTTGTAAGAAATGGAATATAATATTCATATGGTATGTTTTCATAAGTGTATAATCACCTGAATATGGGAATTTCTTTAGAACAAGCCGCTTTTGTCAAAAACAGTTACAGTGGTTGAGTCCATAAGAACACTGCCCGCTCTCTTTCTTTTACTCTCATAGTCTCTCTCTGACGCTCTCTCTCTCTTTTCTCACAGGGTTTCTTGGTGACATTCAGCTGCTCACTTCATGCTCCACTTTCCTCCACATCAACCCAAATTCCAGTATTTGGTTCTTACATAACACATAGCACAAGATTTGGACTCCAGTAGCAGACCAATGAGATGTGGTAATTTCACCCAGTCTCCTCAATATTCTCCTATTGTGGTGCACAAAGTTGCCTCAGCCATCCATGCATAAGCAAAACTAGCCGCGGGCATGCTTGCCTGCACACATACAAACACGCAGACTCACAACAACATGTCGACGGCGCATGCTGACATTTAAGGAAACACAGGTGCGCGTGTGTGTGTTATTGTTTGTTTGTGGATGGGTGCAGATCCGAGTAATAGTGCCTTGCTGAATGTGTGTGTGTCATGATAATCTCAGGCCATCTTCAAACACAGTGCAGGGGGACCTTGGAGCTCTTCTTCCTTCCTCTGCAGTGTAAGGTCTATTAGCTTTGACATGCACTCCCTCTCACACTGTACCTGTAAGCAAAACACACCTCTAGTACAGTAACTAAGATGGCTGAGTACCAAGCCTGCAAGGCTCACTTCTGCTGGCCTTGGTTCAAGTAGTGTGAAATACCCTGCTCTCTACTGGCCGACCAAACTATTACCATCTAATTAGAATGGGGATATTAAGCTTGTATATTGGTATTCATTCTGTTAATCTGTTGACCACTTTCTCAATTAATCGATTAGTTGTTTGGTCCATAAAATGTTCAGTGTTTCCATAAAGCCAAAGGTGACGTCCTCAAATGTCTTGTTTTGTCAACCCAAAGATATTCCGTTTACTGCCACTGAGGCCAGGAAATATTCACTATTGAGAAGCTGAAATCAGAGAATTTTGGCCAATCTTTCTGAAAAAAATTACTCAAAACAACTAACTGATTATGAAACTAGCTGCTGATAACTAATCGATTCATCGACAAATCATTGCATTTGCAATTTTTTGCAATTGCATATTTTTAGGCTGATATCTTCATGGATTGAATAAGCTGTATTCCTCATAGCAGGAATCACAATAGGGATGCTGCAGCATACTGACACACGCTGGGGTACACTTGTACCTCACTGCAGCGAGGTGAGAAATTAAACCACTGTATGTCAGCAAAAACAAGATTTTCAGCTGCTGTTGAATTTATCTGTAATGCTGGCTAAACAGGGACTGCCTTAATAAAATACCGTCTAAAACAACCACATCAAAGAATAAGTATAGATGAGTATGAATTTGAGCATGCATTCAATGAGTTGTGTGACAGTTGACAGTAGTTGATGAGCACTGGGTAATGCCTAGCTTCAGGTATGAGGTATGACTTAAAATGCATGTGTCTCAATGAAGAACTACAGTAATTAATCTCTTTCACTAACTTTCACCCTCAACCAAATCTCCATTCAGACCAAATGAGGAAATAACCTTTGCCTGACTGTTGCCATATAAACACAGGCTGCTTGGTAGAGCTTTAAACAGAGAGCAATTTGTGTCACCTTCCCTCCCTTATAGACTGTGTTGTGCTGAGGGCTAAGGTCAGCGGCACGAGTAGGAGGGGACGAGATCTGTCTGAGGGACCAGATAATGGACTACTGGGTTATTGATGAGTTAGATAAACAGACAGTGTGAAAGAAAGAGAGAAAGAGGTCATAGATAGGAGAAACAATCTAGGGAGGAATGAAGAAGAAAAAAAAAGATACAAGGAAACCAACCTACAAACAAACTAGTGTCACATTGAGATTTTGGAGAAGATGCACCAACCTGGAGACATTGATACCTGAGACAGGAAGGACGGAGAGGGACGCTCAGACATATAAACACAGAGGCGTATGTCACACATGCTTCTTCATAGAGGCTCAGTGAATGTTTATGACCAAGCTTGCGTGTGTGAATTTGAGTTTTATGTGTCTGTAAAACAACAATTGCTGCTCAAAGGACAGGTCAGTGTTATGTGTGAGCTTGAGTAAACCACACAACATGCAAAAGGTTGTGTGTTTGTGTGTAGCTGTGTTTCAGTTTATACAGAGGGGTTAGAATTTAGAACAAGAGACAGTTGTTGTTTTGGAAGGGCAGTGAGGTGTGTGTGTGTGTGTGTGTGTGTGTGTGTGTAGTGTGTGTGTGCGTGTGTGTCTGTGTGTGTGTATGTGTGTGTGTGTGTGTGTGTGTGTGTGTGTGTGTGTGTGTGTGTGTGTGTGTGTGTGTGCGTGTGTGTCTTCACTCTGTGTGTTTGTATGCTGGCAAAAATAGCCAGTGTTGTATCTGACTGGAACAGGTGTCCAAACATTACAACACACATTCACCCACCATCAAACACACCATGAAACTCACATCTCATCATAAAGGAACACACCCCTTTGAAAAATGGAGGATTATAGGCTATTGATATGCTGTTGTCTCACAGAGAAAATTAAATATCAAATAGTTCAGTGTTTTGAGTGGAGGTCTCTGACCGGAGTAATGGAAGCTGCTGGTGAACTACCCCAACTACCTTTGTGTCATCCTGTCACTATACAGGAGAAAAATACATAAACACAAACATTATTTAACCTCTATATGGAAGTAGCAGATGTTGATCTTGATTTTAGGCCCTGGTATAGATCAAGTTTCAAAGATGCTCAATTGTACAATGTCCATTAAGCAACTTAACAGTGACATCCTTCCTACATGGTGAACATTCACATCTTAGAATACCCCACATCTTTAGTTTGCAACGCAGGCTTTCCCTGAAAGACATGAGATGAGCAGATAATGAGATAACCCTGATGACATCACTTGGGTTCAGACTTTGGAAAGGTCTCCTTAGAGCCACAAAATACATCATACAACAAAGTGAGTACTCTTCTGGGAAAAGTCATCTTAACAAGTAAAACTGGTGGGGTTCCCCCCTTAGGAACAGTTCAACATTTTGGGAAAGGCTCATTATTTTTTTCTGAAGATGACTGAAACCAATCTCATGTCTGTGTGTAGTATGGACCTAGCACTGGGACGCAGTTCGCCTAGCTTAGCATAAAGAAGCAGAGGGAAACCTGGCCCTGTCCACTGTTAAACGATACAGCGGCAGTTCTTAAAATCAACATGTATAACACATTGTAGCTCATTTGTCCTGACAGACACGTAAAAATGAGAATTATAGTTTTAAAGGACGTTTTTTTTTGCTCCAAACAATCATAGGAGACTAAATTGTTGTTCATCAAACATAGTTCGTAGTAATACAAATACTAATCACTAGATTAACATAACTGATATTATTATTTGCATACATTTAAATGCAACAGACATAGAGCTAGGCTAACTGCCTCCTGGTTCCAACTCCATACTCCATACAGACAGAGTGGTAAAACAGGGTGGCAGTGTAAAGCACATAAGCTTATTTCCCCAAATGTTTAACTATTTTTTTAAAACAATTTTTTAAAATCTGTCTCTTGCCAGAGTAACTCTTTAACAATGGTACCTTTCCAAGTCATTGTACAACACTTAATAATAGAATATGGAGATAATATAGATATATATTACAAAGAATATACTGATGGAAGAAGAACAGTGACCTGCTTTATTTGACACACAGTGTTCACCCACTGTCTGCTCTCTCTCTCTGCGTTAAACACATATGTGCACGCGCTCGCTTCACAACACATTACATTTGACAGTGTCGGAACAGTTTTTCTCCCACTGAAGAGGAACAGGCATTATGTGTGTGCATGTGTGCAAGCATACATGCGTGGGTCTGTGTGTGTTTAAAACCTAATTTGTGTATGGGCAAACCCATCTCTGAGGGCTGTATTAAAGGCATTTTGCACTGTAATGGGCTGACATGTTAATCTCAAACTCTATTCTCTGCAGCTAATGAACATATCCATCCTGGTCTCTGGATGTGCGTGTGTGTGTGTGTGTGTGTGTGTGTGTGGTAAAATGGCAACATTGTTCCATTTTTATGATGCTGCTGAGGCAAACATAAATTTGAACACTGATGCCAAGGTGATGTAGGTCTATGCATTTTTAACAATGACGACATTGAAGAACACTGAATTTTGAATCACTCACACACTTTGTTTGTGTGTGTATATGTGGAGGAGAGACATAGATCTGACAGTTCTGGGTCAGACCAGTCCCATGGAGTCAGGAAACCTACAGAAGACACAGCAAAACACAAATATGCGCACACAGACACACACATGCACGCACACACCTGGTGGGTGAAGATGACAAATGTTTGTTAGGCAAAAGGAAATAGAAGAGTGGTTGGATTTGGGCGAAAAAAAGGCTGTCCTGCTGTGCCAACACTCATACATCAGTCTACACCTCAGGAGCAGAGAGAACTGAACACACACAGAGAAAAAATTACACATAACCGACAACACACAGTAGACACTGCTGACTGGAGGGCTACACAGGAAAGGCGGCAAGAGCAAACGGAGCCGTGATAGTGTATTGTAGTTGAGGGCATAAACACACCACGCTATGGTCATGTTGAGCGCAGCCACGAATCAGCCTAATTACCACTGACACGTATAGGGTGGTGAGGTCGGCAGCATCGCCGGCATTGCTCTAATGTATTCATCACACCCAAACTTGAGATATCAGATACAGTATGTTATTTTTTCCACACTTCCCCCTCATCATTACAAGGCGCAATTTCCACTGACGCATCAGGACCACACTATCCTCATTCTTCAGTTGAGCTAAGAAAAGCTGTGCAGAAATCAATTCCAACTGAAGATTTTTCTCATTTCTCAGTATTACTTCACTACTGTACTGTCCGTTGCATCATCTCTCCACTCTGTGGCTGGTGTGGAAATGACCACTGCTGTGTTTGCTATGTGTGTGTGCATGAGTGTGTGTAGTGTTTTGCAAGAGAGAAAGAGAGAGAGAGCAGGAGACAGCTTATGCATGTGCGTGCCCGTCATAATGTCTGCATAATGTCCCCAAGGTCTATGACTGTATAACTAATACTTGTATTATTGCTAGAATAAAACATTACGCTGAACCAAGCAGGATTAGAAAACAAGCATGACAGCCTCTTCCCACTCTCTCTCCTCTCTCTCTCTCTCTCTCTCTCTCTCTCCCCCTGACACACATACACACACACAAACACAGACATGTATGCATGTGTGGAAGCAAGCAGCCGAGGGCCATGTACACTAGCAAGCGGCCATGTTTCTTTCACAAGAGGCTGCAGTGAGGCTGTCATCGTCAGCATGGTTCTCTCTCTCTCTCTCCCTCTCTTTCTCCACACACACACACACACACACACACACACACACACACACACACACACCGTACAGTGACATCATGCCACGCATTTAGACCAGAGGGTCAGAGGGTAACACAGCTTTATGTGCTGAGGCTTCATTGTCGTCATGCTCAGTGACTGCAACAGCCCTTATTCAGCTCTCTTTCTCTCAAATGCACTCACTTTCCCAGTTTACTATCAGCTCCTTTTGCTCACATTACCACTAACAGGCAGGTCACTGCATACAAAGGTGACACTCTTTCAGTTCAGGTAATGATAGATGGGCCCTGCCCTCCTCTCTGACCAGCAGGGCTCTCAACATCTGGCCCAGACCCCTGCAATCCGTCAACATTCTTCTAGTGAGTAAACCCCCCCCCGCCCCCATCTACCTCCTATCCACCTTTCAACCTACTAAACATTTAGATCCTCCTTTCTGGCATGCTGCCACTTATGAGCTTTTGAAGTGCTATGTGCACATATATGCCCATCATCTTCACAGTTATTCTTGTGGTGATATCCTGGGACATGCAGGAGTGTTAGAGGGGGTCCCCAGCAAAGGTGTACACGTAGGAAATCCAAGCTTATTACAGAAATACTGCTCCGGCCTCCTCCTTGTAAATTAAATACTTTTACTGGTTTAGCTCTTCAGATTTCTTGCCATGTTTCAACCCACTTGTACTGTTATCCAGAAAAAAACAAGGAATAGTGTCATTTGAAACGATTATGCAACATACAGTATGAGCACAAAACTGAAAATGATGAAGGTCTTAAAATGTGATTTTGACAAAGGGACCCCTTCAAGACCTGCAGGGTCCCCCTTAATGCTCATTTGAGGCTATCTGGTGCATATTCCCAGTCAAATTCTAAATTACATTTGCACAAACCAGATGATACACAGTAAGGCTGGAGCTGTGCGTCCATGAGTTCTGGGGCCCAGCAGGTACCCACTCACCCCAGTAGGTAATCCAGCCAGAGCACCAGATGTTTAATGAGCTATTATCTCCTCACACAGGTCAGTGTAGACCTAGACTACCTTACTACAACCAATTATGCACGTTACCCATCACCCTCCACACCACAATCCCCCCTCTGCCCCCACCCCGTTCCTCACCTGAGGCAGCGCGGCGTTGATCTGCCGCTGGAGCACGTCCCTCTCGTGCAGCGCCCCCTGCAGTTTAGTCTGAGACTGAATGAGGGTCTCCTGAGTCTCCCTGAGGGACTCCAGCAGCTTGTCCCTCTCGTCCAGCATGTTGACCATCAGCTGCTCGAAGTTGGCCTCCTGGTCCGAGCCGTTCGGGACGCCGCCGGTACCTCTGGGAGGACCGGCCGAGTCTCCCTCGCTGATGGTCGGCATCACCTCGCACATCATCTTCCCCTGCTCTGTGGTCTCGGCAACGCTATAGGACAGTGTCGCTGTCGGGATTCAGAGGGGGGATATGCGGGTTACAAGCCCGATAAACAGACTTACAATAACTGATAAGAGGGCCTATTAACGCCCCGTAGGAACGGACAAGCCTATGCAACCCGGGGTACGCGCCTTATTCCCATTGCATTACATTTATCTTGCATCAAACGTGCATCCTTAAGCTTTCTACCACCTTACCTAATCAGAGTGACTGAAATGCTGAGATGATGGTTGACCTTTCATCCATATTAACCGGCGTTTTTTCACCCCGTGAGCAGATCCGCCCTGCCCGGCGCGCCATGCACTCACATGTAGAAATCCCGGCGTGATGTGATTGACAGCTCAGAGATAGACGGGTGTGTTTGGAGGGGTGGTGCCCGCGAGCACGACGGAGATCATAGTACCATGGCAGGAAAATAAAAAAAACAGAAAAATATCCGGGAGGACACGTTTTATCTGCGTCCTTAGTCTTGGGGACAGCGAGAGCGAGTCTTATCTGCATCCGCCTTCTCCGCTTCCATCTCTCCACACCGCCACCGAACCGACGCTCACTCCTCCTCCCACACACACAGTCGCTCAGTCACACACACACACACACACACACACACACACACAGGGAATCTGCAGTTGTCACTACCAGGCTGCTCTGGAAATAAGGGACCAACTCCCAGCGTTCAGCCTATAAGCGTTGCACCACATGCATGACTGGAATTAGCTGGACGGTCATTAATGTCATTGCATAATCTCTCAACTCTACACAAAGTATCATGTTTCTACAGTTCGCACAGACTTGACCCTTGATTGGTAAAATGCAATTAACTTTTCACATCAGCACCACTAAGCTCGACTATGATCTGACAGCTCCTGAGACATGCGCGTTCTGGCGGCTTCAGCTTACCCGAGCCACAGAGGCGGGTTGTGCACTGAGAGTGCGCAGCGCACCCTGCAGGATCTGTGCTAGAGCCCTAAGATTGTAAATGTTAGTAATATCAGAAAGAAACAGCTTCTCGCGCCATGTTTTATTCTGAGTGACTAACTCACTTAACTGGGTGGTGGCCCTGAAGTTTACACTTGTTGTATGTATTACATTCTTTGGGACTTTGTGCTGATCATCAAATAATGTGCTACAGTTCTGACAATTAACTGCTTACCAGTGGTGGAATGTAACTGAGTCCATTTACTCTTGGGTATTTCCATGTTATGTAAAATTCTACTTCACCATTGTACCTGTATTGTAGTTTTTCCTCCACTACATTTGTCTGAGAGCTTAGTAACTATAGTTACTCTACCTTTACGGTCCGTGTATGTTTTGGTCATTGGATTTTCCTTTCAGAAACGGGTATTAAAAAACAGAAAACGAGTGGTTATTTGATTTTCGTTTTAAAATATAAAATACACGGACCCTTTACAAATGTTCATACCCTTCATGTCCAGTGAAAACCACGTATCTTCAATATTCTTTTATTTGAATGTTAAGTGTTCCTTTTTTGAAAACCCTCTTGGATTAGCTGGTAAAATGCATGATGACAAAGCTGAAAACAGGGTGGATTTTCTGAGTTCAGAATATGATGCATTACTGTAGATTCGACTCCCCAAGAGTAAAGTAGTTACAATTCCAACAACCTTAAACATCTACAGCTGTAAAATACAACATACAAATGTATCCAGCCGTACTAATAAACCAAAAACATATAGGCCTAGTTAAAGTCTGACAGGGGCCATTTTTCTGCAGAATGAGTAGGACTTTTGATACTTTAAGAACATTTTACTGATACTTACTTTTACTTAAGTGAGGCTTTCACTCATAGTGGAGTATTCCTACAGTTAGCTCACGGTTGATGTTTTGAAAGTTAACTGTGAACTGTTTAAAAAAAAAAAGAACAGTGAAATTGAGAATGATAAATCTCAGTTCAGTGAAAAAAAAAAATATTATTAGCCTACATAGAAAGTAGTGACTGAGCACAGTTCTACAGGGGTTTGGCTGTTTTAAAAGAAAAAGTGGATGTCATTAAGTTAAGGGTTGTGAAAATGTGATAAAACAGTTTAATTCATTAAATCCATAAAAAAATAAAGTTGATACAAATTGTTATGGAAAGATGGAGGGAATTACTTACTTAGGGAAATTAAATGGATAACTGGGTAATGTGTTTTATTTCTTTATATTTCATGATCCAGTTATTATCATAATTATTAAATAGGTCTAAATCCTTCAAATAATAAATATCAGATCTTTTCATATCACACAGTCAAATTTCTTTTATATGTAGGCTACATAGGCTACTTGGCCAATCATGTATTCATGTCCTCAGTATGTGCCAGTATATCTGGTTTCATTGAAAAAAAATAAATCGGTGTATATGACCTTTGTTATTTTAAATACACGTAACTCGAGATATATGCATGTAGACATTCACTTAAATATGTCTCACGTCGAAGGTTTAGGTACAGAAGGCTTTTTGTCGCCACCTAGTGGCTGAATCTGATTTGATACTATTCATTTGAATCTGCAAAGTAACTTGTAACTAAATACCAAATAACTGTAGTGAAATAAAAAGTACAATGTTTTCCTTTGACTTGTACCTCAAAATTGTACTTAAGTACAGTGCATTAATAAATATACTGATTTACTTTCCACCACTGACTCCAATAAGGAAACAACAGTAGCTGCTAAGAGAACACATATACTGATATGAACAGGACAAACTTTAAATAGAAGGATAAAGGCTGAGTATCTAACCCCTATCTTAACTGTTGCTATCACATCACCAGACCATTTTTATTTGTTTTTTTGTTTTTAGAAAAAGATTTAGTTTGTCCTCATTACAATATTTTTTCTTATTAAGGGATCTATTAAAGCTTATTTCTACCATTATTTGTACCATTTTATTCAGTGACAAATTTGATACACCTCAAGATGACTGTCATACATTTCTGATTTATAACTGCCATTATTGTAATAGTTGTTGCAAAAACGTTCTTTCCATTGTTGACAAATAATTAGAATTGAGGTTACAACATGACAAGGTTTTTTGGCAGTTATAGGTAAAAGTCAGTATTCTGTGTTACAAGGATGGGGCTGTGAAAACAAACAGTGGTCATAATATATTAGACATTAAAGCTATATCTGCAGACAATAAATGGTTTGATGAAAGCTACAGCCACAGATAAAAAGAACATAATTCCCCCTGACATCTCCTCTGACCCATCTCTAAAGTTGGAGAAGATGAGGCAATCTGCGTGCCGATTACTTAATTGTCAGGGAATACTTTCTCATGGCCAGAGGTAGAAGCATCACCTCTGCTTTTTTTCGGTCTTCTTTAAAACTGGAGCAGAGATTTCTCCGAAAACTAATTTTGCTTTAGTTCCATATTTGCCCGAGGAGATGTGACTCTCTGCAGAGGAGTTTTCAAGGTCTTGACAACAATGTTGTCAGCAACCATTCTCGGATGCTGTGGAGACCTGCAGCACTTTTACAAAATACTTACATATAGGTCACTGATCACAGCACTGTGGATCTTTTTTAGCATCAGCCTATGACTCTAGGATCTGATAACATTGTCAGTGATTACCATTTAATTTCTCCATGACTGATGGTCATTATCTAAGTCTACCTGGCTAAGTGATGTCGGGGCAATTTTAATCCAGTCCATTAGCAACCTTCTGAGAATCCAAACTATCTTTACTACTACTGTTGGGTGAAAAGTGGATGGCCAGATGAAACAAGTCAAACAGGAACTATCTCATGGCTCTTCAGTGAAGCTATACGGGCACCAGGCTCTGCAGGAAAAACCTGGCATTTTCTTAAAAGCCTTCAGTTTCATTCAATGCTCCTTCATGACTCCTCCTTATCTTGAAATCTTGAGAATGAATAACTCAAATCATAGCCATAAATGAATGAGCAGTACAAAACAATCACATATAAACTGGCTAATCCAGAAATATGTGTAATTAAGTCTAACCAGCAGCACTAACGCCTGCACACAAAAAGCACCACATTAAACATCATAAAGGCAAAGAGCACCACATATAGTGATCTACAGTTTCATATCAAGCAGACAGCATTTGAGATTTTTGTTTCAATTTGGCATTAACATCAACATTATATTAAAAATACACTAATAGAAATATTGAGTGTTTATGAAGCCTTCTGGGAAGTAAGCTATAGATATTTGAATACAAGTCTTAACTTTTCTACATCTGTGGTCACAAGTATCATTGTAATGTTCACACTCACCAGCAGATGGCAGTAAAGCAGCAAAGGGGGAAAAACGATACTCTCGCGTGACTTGCAACGTTACGTCATTCCATGATGGCTGAAGATCCTGGCGGAACATTTTTCAATTTCTCTCTCATTTTTCTTTCTTTCTCTCTACCGTTGCTTGCCATAGAGACATGGCAGGACTCACAGGCCCGTTAAGCGTCCGTAAATCATTGGTGTCGACATGCCCAAGAAAGGGAACCGAAAACGGCTGAAATTTAGGGCCGGGGACGTTTGCTCGGAATCAGGTAATGTAAGCTATCGGTCAACAAGCTAGCCCGCCCACAGTTAGCGCTCCATAGTCGGCTGGAATTCAAACAATGTTTAATTTACAACCTCGAATATGACATAAATGCTGTATGACATTATTATATTAAAAGTGAGTTTGTTTTCATGTATTAGCAGATTGAAGTAACGCTAAAGTAACACACAGGCTGTGTAACGTCATGTACTTTGACTGTCAGTAGTGGTCGTCGCAGGTTTCGCTGATATGTCTGTTTTTATTCTAGTGACCGTCGCTGATTATGCTGATGCCGACCCGGCCGTTGTGAAGTCAGGGAGGGTGAAAAAGGCTGTTGCAAATGCAGTTGAAAAAGAAGGTAACTTGTGATGATGTGTGCAGTCAGACATCTCTGTTTATTAATGAGTGGAAACTACTGTACAGTGCCACTTGGAAAGTTTGGAAAGGTGATCCGAGTTCCTTACTTAAGTTAACACTATGTTTTTCTTTTAGTAAAATTACTCTGCGGCCTGGAAGCATCTCAGGGAGCCGTAGAGGAGGTCCTCTCGTCTGCAGCGACTGTTAAAGCAGACGATCTGGACAGCAGTGATGAACTAGACCCTGAAGAAGATGAAGAAAATGAAACTAAAGTGGCCCTTAAGAAGAAAAACAAGAGGAGAAAGGGTATAATTTTGTAATTAGTAATTAATAAAAGTATGCACATAAAGGAATCATTTGAATGTGGGTGACTCACCATTTTTGGAATGACCATACTAGGGTGTTTACTGTGTTTGCATGTTGTCTTCACAGAGAGCAGTGAGAGCAGTGATGGGGAGGAGTATCCAGTGGATATTTGGTTAGTGCTCGCCTCCTACATTCGGCCTGAGGATGTGTGCAGATTTGCTCTAATTTGTAGGAATGCCTGGACAGTCACATGCACTGCAGCTTTCTGGACCAGGCTGTACAGAAGGTGAGGTGATTTTATTTATAAACACCTTGCAGGGGTCAGGGGTGGATATATTGTAACAAAAGTGTAGGGCCTACTGGAAGTTCCTCAGAGCCCAATTTAAAACTGTAATCTGAAGGCAATTTTGATGGGATTTTGATTGATTGATACATCCAATGACTGATTTGGTCATTTACTCAAGAGCCAGAGGTAATGAAAGCGTCAAAGGCACAGGAGCTTGGAATTGAAAGCAATGAGTAAAGTGATAGAGTAAACTGACATTGTGTATAACTAACAGGTTTTCTTTCGCTGCCACCTTCTGTCTCTCCTTCACAGACACTACAGGATTGATGTTGACCTGCCATCTCGCCTCCAGCCTGACTGTATTGACAGGATGCGCTGTTTACGGGCCCGTGTGATTCGCTCCCTGTTCCATTTGTATGAGCCGTTTGACTTGCGTGTCTCAAAAATTCCTGCCCTGCCAGAATCCACCCCCACAACCTTGCTCAACTCCAAGGTAAATTAACTGACAGTCAGTCACCTAACTATACAAATGTTTAGTTTTTATTTTTGTTTTGTTATTTGTTAGTATTGTATCTGATTGGCTTGTAATTAGGAGCCCCACCTTCTTTATGCTGATATGCTTATGCTAAAAAGGAAAGATCAGGCCTAACCAAGGCTGTTGATAACCGTTATTGTGATATCCAGGCCATCCTTGACCCCCAGTGTTTGGCTTACTGGAGCTAGATAGCTCAAAGAGAACCAGACTAAGTTGAACTGTCTACTATCAGTTCAACTTAGTCTGGTACTCTTTGAATCGCTGGGTGATAAACAGATTAAATATAAATACAATACGTTTAAATGCGACGAAAAAAGACGTCTAAATTTTTATTCCACAAGAAGGTTTTACGCATTTTTTCCCACAGACAGATTAACTTACTGGCCGCCCAGCTTGCAACTCATTTCAGTAGAGAAAGAGAGAGAGCTGGTCCAGGTTAAACAACAGTTTTGTTTTGGAAAGGCGGTGTAATAAACAAGCCTCCTCCACACGCAGCACACCTGCTGTTGTGAAAACAGAAATTTTATTTTTAGGCCGTATCACCCAGCCCCACATGATAGAATCCCCATGTGTACTCCTTGGTTGGACTGAAAACCTGGGGACTTGACCCTCGATGGCACATGGTTTGACACATCTGGGTTATGTATTTCTAATTTTTGCACGTTTTATCAACCAGGAAGAAACATATGTATGCAGGCCTGTATAAACTTAAACTAGCCTTTCACTTAGTGGAAATGGTGACTTTTTGTTCTTAACGTTTCCTGTTGCAGTGTTTACTGTTCTGGATCAGAAAGGTCTCAGGGACTCGGCCAGAGGCATTGTGGGAGTTCAACTTCAAGTTTATAAAGCAGGTAAAAAGGGCTGTTTAATACCAACTACACTAACATGATAACCTTTTACATAGTCGGTCGTTGCCTCTGCTATCATATTTATTTTTGTGAATTTCTGTGATTATCTCCATCCCAGCAGGGACACAGTAAGAATGGTTGTGCCAAGTCCTTGCAAACACCAAGACAGTACGAAGATGTCCACAAAAACCCAGACTCTGACTGCTACATGCTTCAGGTCACCACACTCAACTTCATCTTCACCCCTGTGGTCATGGGCATGACGCTTACCCTGGTTAGTAACTTTGGGCTTTTGGTGGATATTATATACTACTATATATACTACTTCTTAGGGTAGAGAGCACAGGGCGTTTGCATGTGTTCCCCTATAGCTGATTTGTGTTTTAAATAACAACACTTATCATAAATAAGGGTGCTCCGTTTGATTGAAAAGGGTGAAATAAGAAAAGAGCTGTAGAAAATTACTTATTAATACTGTTAATACTGTTAAGCAAAAATTAACTTCTGCACCAAGTACCCTCAACTCCTCTCCTAATCTGAGCTGTTCTGTCTCTGTCTTTCTCACAGTTCACAATCAACGTTAGCACAGACATGCGCCACCACCGCGTCCGTCTATTGTTCCAGGACTCGCCGCTGCAGCGAGGGAAGAAGAGGGTGGATCAGGGCGGGACCCAGGTGGTGTTGGATCCCGTACAGAGTGTAAGGCTCATGGACTGGTGGCATCCACAATACCCCTACTCACCCTACACATAGGAGAAGTGCCCCCTCAGTTCCTGCTACAGCATTACGTCACACCAAGAACCCTGCTGTCATCTCATCCTACTTATCAAACAGAAATATGATTGTGCAGAAACCTGAATTATGTTTAATAACAGAATTTGCACATTTACTACCATCATCGTCATTCTTAGATGTTAAAGAAAGCAAACAGTATCGAAATCGATCATGTTGCATTCCCATCCGCCACCCCAACCGCCACTTTTAGTGTTATTTAAACATAGCAGTTTTTCCTGCATTGACACTGGATGCAGACTTGTCCGGTATGAACATTATTCCTAGAGACTGGGCTTGTTGTCTATGTGTAGAACTCTGCCATGTTCAAATAGTGACATTGTCAGTCCCTCTACTCTTTCAACACTCTTCAGCTTTAGGAGTTCCTTGGTCTTTCGGAAAATATGGAGAAGTATGGTTGGTTAATTTGAAAAAAATATGGAAGCTTTTTGCTTTATGCTTATGTCACAATAACCTAGAAGATCATCACCTGAAATCAGTAACTTTATATGTGAAAAACTAGAGATTGATTAAGTAGTTTCTCACTTTGGGCAGCATAAAAATGGAAAGTCAAACTGAAACTGAGTTTCAGATGAAATTCTGAAATTTAACTTCAAATTGTTTTACATGGCAATCTGAGAAGTGCACAGTACTTCACAATGAAAGGAAATACTGTGATATGATTTCAGTGATAGTTAATAGATGATAGATCTTGGTATATTGCTCAGCCCTACAAATGTGGCAGAGAGGAATATGTCCATTTAGAGTTGCATAAATAGATTTATAAGTCCGCCATTATTTTACATGGACAACGTTGTTGCATGTTGAACCTACATGTGTGACACGTGTTTTCTTTATGAGTTTTAACTGGGTGCAACATTTGTACAGTCCTCCTTTTGGTTTGTTTTTATGCTCACATGAAAAGTTGCTCTAAAATATTTTGATTTTTCTTTATTTAAATTTTGACAATGTTGCATCAAAAACACCTTGATTGTCTCCTATGTGTGTGTTGTCCCTTACTGCCTCCTGTAGAATCTGTCTCAACTTTTAATGGCACAGAGAGTTCAAAGTGGTCTGTCTTATGAATGTTGAATGTGGGTAGAATCATAACAGTTATGTCTTATAAGCTACATTTGATGTTGATTTATCAATCCATCAGACACAGTCAGAATAATTTAATCTGGATTCATGTGCACATACACATTTAATGTAGATGAAAAACACATTAGGGCAAGCGCATACACTTTCAAATAACCAGAATTAGCACCTGACTTTAGTATGTCTCTGCAAACCAGTCAAGTTGCAGTTTAGAGCCATGATTGTCCAGATTCATAATATATGTAGTGAAGACTTTAAGGAAATTAATAAAAGGTATTAAGTGTATTTTGGGGCAAAATGCAAGTTATCACTACATTGATGTGTATGAATCTACTGAGAAACATGCTGTCTTCACTTAGAGATTATTTTGTACAGAGGCGTACAGAGGACTGATGAAGAGCTTGTCACATGGTGCAACAACAGCCAAACCAATGAGCTTGTGGTGGATCACTGTTGTTTGTCTTTTGGTGTGTTAAGTAAGATATGTTAATTGAGAGAAACAAAAACAGAATCACATTCCTTGTACGTGTATGTGTTCACGTTTGGCCAATAAAGCTGATTCTGATAGAAAGTTTAGCAATGACATCAGGCAATGTCTCAAATATAGATGTTGCTGCAAAGAAGCTAAAAACACATTTACACACCTTCAACCCAGCAGCACGCAAGTTCTGTATTTGTTACCTTTTTAAGGTGGGCCCCCAAAATTAATGTCACCAATTTCGTATCTGACCAAATGTAAAATATTGTCACAATCTCTCCTCCTGTTTCTGACTTATGGTGGTAAATAATGGCAGAAAAAGTGTTTTTGCAGGACATTATAGCACCGTGAAGTTGACCTTTGATGTTAAATGTCATCATTAATCCTATTAGACATTTGTGTCAAATGTCATGATAGTTTACATGAATTCTTGAGAAATTCTTCTTTTGTGAGGTCACAGTGACCTTGACCTTTGACCTCCAAATTCTAACCAGTTCATCCTTGAGTCGAGTTTTATCAGACCAGAGTTACATTGATAAATAAACTTCCTGCACTGAAATAAAAACTGAAAGTGACCACTCAAAATGCCCCCTGTCTTCTGTCCTGTTGATGTACAATATTACTTAAAGGTTTGCTTCCCTCTAGTGGACATAGTGAGTATTAGGCATGCTGAACAATCTGTTATCTATGAGCCACATGACTGAAGTTAGTTTTAGGCCTCTCTTTACATGCATTGCTTTTGATACTATTAGTGTACTTGTACCAGTGAACATACTATATTATTTTATGATCAGGCAAACAAACAAAAAAAGATCACATACTAACAACTTCATAACCAACAGCCTGAAATGCAGCTGTCATTAGTTAATCATTATTTCGGTCTTATTGTCACAGATACATCCATGCCTGCTGTGCAGTGTTAATACATTATACAACAGTTCATCCCTTTGGTGAAAGACACAATATGAGGAACAGCTGTGAAATCTAGCTATTACATAACCTTTTTTCAATTTAAGGTTAAGTGAGATTTTAAGTGTAAACTTGCTGCAGGACTATTTATTGGATCACATTAGGTTGCCCAGAGTTTTATGAGTGTCCAACCCCTGCATCACAGTTCACAGAAACTTAGTGCACTTGTGACTAAACTGAATGGGTCCTAAACATGTAAACTTGAAGCCACAAAACAGAAGTAGACAGAAGGAAGCGTCTCAAGCGTCTTGCAGACAGTAAAAAACGACAGTCGTGTTGGTCTTGGAAGTGTTGTGGCTAAAGTTAGAGGAGCTCTTAAAACTCTCTTTGCAGTCAACAGGCATCACGTCATCGCCTCAAAATACCACGGTCCGTCGAGGATGTGAGAGAACTACATTTCCCACAAACCCGCTTGCACAGCACCATTGGTGGTGGCACAGGTGACCGCGGACGCTCCGAGTTGTGACAACATCTCGACGGTCTAAACGAAAACAAATTCGCCTCTGAAGTGCCAGGCTGTACACGCCGTAGCGGTCACACACAGAAACCTTAAACTCTTTTTTTCACCTATTTGAACGCTACTTTTTTTCTTCTGGTAGTGCGTGGCAGGTTTGGTATTACCAGAGCGCACGAGAGAAGTGGGCACGCACTTTTCCTGAACCTGACTACCTCGTTCTGTCTGACCTTCAGATCGGGTAAGTGATATTTCCCCACCGCCACTGAACTGTAGCTTCTGCCACAACACCACTACTTCTGGAAAGCACGCTACTGTGCATTTTAACTGCGTATTTTCTCGCTTTACGTACAAAGTCGTGTGATTCATTGAGTTTAAAAATGAAAAGTAGCCAACTTATTATTTGCCCTTTGGAAATTAAAGGCTGCACTGTCATGTACCTTTTAATTAAATGTTACTAAAACAATGCAACAAAAAAAAAGTAGATATTTATGTATTGTGGGCGAGACATGTAGCTGCTTGCAGCCATACTTTATCCTTAAACTTTACGTACAGGCAATCACAGTGCACCATTTGTTAAGGTTTTGTGTTTAGCCCATCATAATGATGTTATAAATCTGAATAGAGTAATTGTAGCAAGATTGAGACATTCATGAATAAATACTAAACTATTTATTTTCTACTGTTTATCTTTACAAAAATAAGGAATGATTAAAGAATAAAATGACATAATAGTATGAAAAAAAAGTTTGCTTTTTTAGACCAATTTGACACCCCCTGGGTTAGGACCATAATGCACCACTTTCCCCTTTTACTGTCATCAGTGAGTCTCTGCTGAGAGCTGCCCCTCTTGCCATTTATAAGCAGTAGCCAGGCTGGTATCAGTAACAACACCTCAGCCTCGGGGTATGCTGCTATGTATAAGCTGTGACTTTAAACTGTACAGACTGTAATGCTCTGCTGCATATACTTTGCTTGAAAGTCCTGCACGGTGCAAACACAAAAATAATGAAGGCAACAGTGACTATTTATGTCCCCTTTGTCCCTTCTGCAGTGTGGGCTTTAATTACATACCGTGTGTTTATTATTAGTGTGCATGTGTGTTGAATAGAGGGGACAATTCGTTATGCCTCATGCTTTCCCGTAATGCAATGTCAGTGTTTTACTCTAGTGATGACATTTGACATATACCTGGGATTTAGCTGTGTGTTTTTTTTTAAAGGAACTTCATGTTTTTTCGTGTTTTCCTGTTAAACTATTTGACCATATTCACATGCCATACCAAGTGTTTACCATGATTCATGTAGATTGCAAGATTACAGATTCCTGAGAGTCTAATAAGTGCTTTGTGGACCAACCAGACATTTATCCTAACTCCTACCCCAGTTAAAGTCGGTCCTTTCCACAGCTAGTCCGTCTGAAGTCTGTAGGCTGACCGGTATGTTTCCTTAGAGTATGTATTCCACCGTACATCACACCTACCAAGAATCTGACATTAGACCCTGACCCCTGACCTCTACGCCTGGCCTCTGTGATCATCCATACAATTCTCCAGAGAACACAATAAGGTTTAAAGATCAAAGGTCACAATAGGTCTGATAACTCGTAATTGTAATGTAATTGTTGCTTCTGCTTACATTCATGACTTGTCTACTTTCGTTCTTAGTGCATTTCTAACAAATTTCCCCTTAGACACTGGCATTAGTGCTAATCCAGTGGTGACTGTTGTTTCATAAAACATTATGATGACAGCGTATTAGGTGAGTTACCAGAAATTGAAAATCCGAGGCTCAGCTATCTAAATAAACGAATGAAATGAATATGATGACCGTATTTATGACATAGATTGTGGAAGGAACTGCGGCCACAGGAGAAATACATATATAGGGATTTTTAAAACAATCAGCAGTTACTCTTTTTAATGACTGCTGGTAGGTAGAAATATGTTTGTAAAGTAAGGTGTCCCTTTTTTAATTCTGCTTTGTCTTCGGTCGCTTCCAGTTAGATGAGTTTTGCAGGGAAGTGGCTCAGAATCACTGAGGTCAGTCAGACACACTGACAGTTTGGGTTCCTTGGTGACACGCGTTTTCCCGTATGGTTTCACCAAAGGACACGAGAACCTCCACCTGTTTTTTGTTGTTCACTATTACTGAGACAAACAGATGGGCATTCACATGTATGGGGGCAGGTTCAGCTCCAGGTCTGAGGAAATAGGAGCTGCATTTACATAAGTGATCACATACACTCAGTGATTGTGTTGTCAGTGTGTGTTCAGGCCGTACTATGGGAGTGAGTATTTTTTTCAACGTTGATGCAGAATTGTAGCACATGAGTTCATCACACAGTTAAACCTTGAATTACCATTCTCCTTGAAAGAAACAGTATCTCTCTCCCTCTGTCCCTGTCTCCCTTTCTGTCATCTTTATCTGCCTCCTCCTCATCTCTGTGAATCCATGAATGAATTGAAACATTTCCGTTGGGTAACCTGATCAAAACGATAGGTCTACTGTGCAGCAACACTTGCACGCAGTTCAGCTGTAGCTCTCACACTAATGCAGCGCTACCACATGTCAATAAACCAATTTAATTGAATTATTGTCTTGTAATTTTATCATGTGCCTTGTGGCGTGTTTATATAATGTTCCTAAGAATGCCTCTGAACTAAAAAATAGATTGAGAAGACTGCTCTAGATATTTGCTGCCTGCTATTTAACAGTTTCAGAGTCTTTACTGTAACAATAAGACAAAAGTTGGATGGAAAAACCAATTCTCTGAGAGGAAAATATATGAAAGGGCTCTGTGTAGCTGTTTGGACCTTTACCTGTGTGTGCAGCGTGGATGTTGAGAATGGGACAGATGCACACAGAGGAGTCAGCGGGGTTATGGAGTGCACACACTATGAAGGGTCAGGGGTTAGTTAACATACTGAGCCATGAGGTCATTGTCAGCAGGGTCAGAGGTGAGCAGCCAGTTATAGAGCAGCAGTGACGCCTGACAGACTGATTGCACTCTTGCACATCGGTAAGCAACCTGCTCCGATGGCCAGCAAAGGAAAACAGAGTTAAGTTTCAAGCTCTAAAACCTCAAAGGAGAGGCGACCGCTTTGACTAACCGTTCTAAATCATTTCTCTTCCCTGGTTCAAGTCTATGTCTGATCACCTCGTCACAAAAGCGCACAAATTAGTGCAAGTATTGCATCCTGTGTGCTGTGTGTATGGAAAAGTGTGTGTGTGGGTCATGTTTTCTGCCTCATTGGACTCATGTCCGCTTGTAAGTGTTAGGGATGGGGTTAATTTTCTTCAGGTAAACAGGCAGCAGTGGATACACACACGCACACACGCACACACGCACACAGGGACACTTACTAAGCTCAATGGATGTACTCTAGTGTGAAAGAGCATCAGGTGTGTGTAAACAAAGCTTCATCCGTGTGCCATATGGACAGATCTCTCATGACCTGGACAGTTTTCATCGTGACTAAACAAGGAAAGGGGGAATGAGGAACTGTCTTTATGGTGGACTGGATTTCCCTTAAAAGACCAAGACAAAAACAAATTACCGTGCAAGTTTCTCAGTAAATGTTGGACTTTTTAAACCACAGTAATGACAGCTTGGCATGTGCTATATGACAACATGACCCATGATCTATCAGAGGTGAGTGTGGGTGGGACGTCTTAGGGCATGTGCTGAATGTGTGACTCCACTTCCTCATCTTATCTCCATGCCACTGTTTCATATCCTCTTTTGACTGACAGACAGTAGTGAAGGTCTTGCTCAGTCTCTCTTTTCTCTGTGAGAACAGCGTCTCCGCTGCATCTGTGTGAGCACACACCGCAACTGCCCTGTTGTGTATGTTTGGACAACGTGCTTGTTGGTATGAACGGCAGGGGTCTGCAGTTGTGGCTGTCGGCGACTTTATCTCTCCGAGGCCCACAGCACATTTCAAGGAGTCATGCTTTTATTTCCTTATAAAGATCAGTCATCTCAGCTAAGTTTATTTCACAAATATTAAGACATACTTGATTAAGATTCTGACAATATTGTAAAAAATGTTCACTTGAGTTGTCAAATCTCAGTGCAATTGTGAATGTATGAATGATATGATGCAATCTCACTTATTTCCCTTGTAGTTTCACTTCTTTGAAGAACTTGTGTGTTTGTGTGTATTGTAAAATATTTTAAAATAATTTGTGGTTCAAGAAAGTTTGGATTTCAAGGCTCAATACAGCATTAAAGATTTTAAGATATATGCTTTGTCTGCTTGGATTTAACCCCCATTCAAAAATGTTACATTTGAATGGTTAGCATTGCTGTTGTTGCTGAATTGGACTTGCTTACTAAAAACTAGTAATAATGTAAATATGTAATACGGGTTTAGACTAATGGCAATAAAAACATAAAGGCTATTTATCTCAACAACACTTTTGATCAGGCTCAGACTGCTTTCAAGGCCTCACATAGAAGATTTTTTGTTTGTTGTGTTGAATTGGATGTCATGTCTGCCTTTCATTTGGCAAATCATGACTTCCTGATTGTCTTCAGCATATGGCTGGTATTATTGCCAGTGCCTGTGGACTGATTAAAATTACAGTTTTGTCTATCCTCCTTCAGGCTCACACAGGGCTCTATCTCAGGTCACAATGATCTATATGTTTCCTCTTAAACATATATCCTTCCACTTGTGTTGTTAATGACACTCTGCTTACAATTCAGAATCAAATACAATGTCTTACTCTTAGATTGCGAGCTTCTTAATAGCTTGGCTCCTTCATTTCTCTGAAGTCCTATCAAACTTTCCTCCATTCTACAGCATCATTTTACCTAAAGCTGCTGGCTGTAAATGATGATCTTTGCTGAGGCCCCTTGACTGTGGAACAGTCTCCCCTTTCAACATCAAGTCTCCACTATTTTACTCTTGAATCCAGCCTCTAAACCCGTCTGCATTTTATATTTGTTCACACTATTGTGGATGGATCGTAAAACTGCATCTTTTTGTGCGTTCACTACATAAGCTGCCCCTTTTAATTGCAGAAAACATTGTAATGCCTGTTACAGGTTGAAGACTGGGCAGGGGAAGAAAAGGTTTTCACCTTGCAGCCAAAGCATGAAGAATGTAAAGGTCCAGTGTGTAATATTTGGGAGGATCTATTGGCAGAAATGGAATATCATCACCTGAAAATAAGAATCTTTGTGTTTTTGTTATCTTGGAATGAGACTTCTATATCTACAGACGCCGGGGGT